CGTTATTTTCAACTTTCACTTTCAATTTTCCTCTAGCAAATTCCGCAAAAATTTTCCTCTAGCAAATGCTTGCCGAGCTCCAAATAACTTATTTCACCCATGTCAACGTCCCTAGTTGCAACTTCTCTAAATGTGAGTATCTCCAGGTTGAATTGCTCTTGTCAGGCATTTGAGGTTAGGAAGACAGCCATATAAGACACTGCTTTTCAGTTCAGTGACTTTTACTTTGGCATGTCAGGCTTATTAGAGTAAACAAGACTGAGTACATGAGAACCCTGGATCTTCACATTTTTTGGGGAGAAACATACAAAACCATGTATCTGTTTTTGACCACTTAACAACTAGTCATCTTTGGCATATTACATAAAATACAAAGAAAAAAAATATTATGACTTGACAGAAAACAAACAAAGATAAATGGCTATGAATATTATACTCCCCTACAACTGCAGTGCCTTTGCAGGGCACAACTGTCGTCATAGCTATGCTCTTTACTAAACATGACATAGTTCGAAACTTTGCAATGCAAATAGTAATGATAAATAGTTTGCACAATAAATGGTTTAATATAGGGTAAAACACACTAAACATACATGTATTTGGCAAGCAGTTATATTTTCCCTAAACAAGATGATAAGATGAGAACATTGATTGGGGTTGTCTCAAACAGCTATGAGTCAAACAACATAGTATGACTTCAGAGAGTGAAACATATTTTTACTTTACATATTTTCTAGGTCGATTTCTTGGCACAACTCTTACATTGGAATAGTTTAATGAGTGCAAAATCCCGGAACCTGAAACCAAGCAGTGGTTATTCACAAAAAAACTAAAGTTAAAAAATGCACAGCTGCACTGACTGTCCTCATTTTTTGTTTATAGTACTTTTCCACTGACTTCGTATTGCACTGTGCATGAACCCAGATACCCCAACCTCCACCCTCTTCTCCAAACATAATTAGAGTAATTTATAGTGAGCTAGCCACATTGTATGCTGTATATACAATACATATGTGCACACATAGTTGGGCCTCTTCATCTAATGCGCCTTGGTTTAAGAGATGAATTTGCATTCCTCATATTTTATTAGAAATGTATTGATGCAGGCTAGAATTTGAAGAACTGGTTTTCGGTTTACATTTTTCAGAATTATTTTCTAAGGAAATCTTAGGGGAACATCTAAAAAGTTTGGCAGGAGGCATATGTTAAATTAGCAAATAATTGGTTCCATATACAATTAAATAATCTTTATCATTTGGAGAAAGTACAAATTTTTTGACTCACATTGGTAGGAATTTTGAGCAAGTATTTTTACAGTATCATTTGTATTGAAAAATATGTCCTCAAATAAAAAAAAATCTGTTTGTCTAAACTAGATAAATTGAACCAGCTTGTTTGCACTTTTGTCAGAATCCCTCTCCTTTACTCCAAAGCTGTGGGTTTTCCATAAGGGTGGGAGATAAAGTTGGCCATTCAGTTATCAGTTCTAGCCTGTTATCAGTAGCTGGCATCAAAATGGACATACAGTAGCGTCCTGCACCAAGGATGTAGACACTGCTGAGTGCTGGATAATTTCTACACCAACACCAGACCATTAATGGCCACTCTGTCAGAGCTCAAGTCTTCCTCTGTGGAGAGCGGAGAACCTCCTAGAAAGACAAAATTTCAACGGCAACCTACAAATCAGGCCTGTTTTGTAACTGTACAGATGAAAGGACATCTTAATGAAAGGCACAGAGAATTCTCTTTGGAGTTTGCTGAACAGCCCCTGAACCACATAGTGAAAGTCCTGGAGAGCCAGAGTCCAAACTTTATTGCGATTGATCATCTGTGATGGTTATGCAAAGATGTCACCCACCCAACCTAAGGGATCTTAAATGCATTAAAATGTACTAGTGTCAACACTAGCAGTTAGCCATGGCTTGTTAATCCTAGTGTTTTGCACAATAGGTAAAAAGCCACACAAGCAGCAACACTACTGCCTGCAGTTCAGTTCCTGATTTTTGGAATCACCCATTTTGGTGGAGAAGAGACAGGAGGTGGTAACAAGAGCTGATGTAAGAAACCTTAAAGTAATAATGTAAGTACACAAGAAGGACCAAAATCACGCTTTGAGTAGCGTAAACTCTTGTGGGCTTTTCTGGCTTGTGCACGGACTCCATATGGAAAAACCAAGACACTATCAAAATCAACATTTTCTAGCTTTCTTTTGATTACATAATTTTGAATGACTAAATTAGATGATAAGTTATTTAGTACCTATCTAGCATTTTCACCTAATAGAATTTTACTCTTGATTAAATTCTCAGCCTAAATTACAATTCTTGAAGGAACACATGGGCATAACTTTTATAGCCGTCATGGCATAGATGCCAGAGCCATTTTATGGGCCCAGTCCAGCCCTGCATGTTACTCAGCCTATCTCTCCCATTTAAAAACCCACTAAAATGTACTTTAAGAGCAATGCAGAGTGGGATGATTGGAGTAGAATATGCCACTTGCAGCTGCTTTCAGTTATAGAACTGCATCAGCATGTACCTTTAAGTTATCATTCTTGGTCATTTTAAATCACCTAAAAATGATAACAAATGTTTTGTTTAAATGAGTGAAAATCTTAACAATATATCCATTTTTTTTTTTTACACAAATGAATTAGAGCACAGGGTCAGCTTGTGAGAATGGCTGATGGTTAACTTATGTTAAGCAGGTTCTGAGAATTTCCCTTTCTCTTAAATGTCACATTCAATGCTACAGTCTTTGAGTCAATGCTACCAACTGAGACCACACACTGGCTGGCTTAAAGCATTTAAATTCCTGTGTGATTATAAACACTTCTTTTAAATCCATTGTTGAGTCTGGGCCAGATTGTATACTGTCATAATAGCTAAATTACCATTCTCTCTTGGAGACAGTACAGCTAATAACATACTTGACTTTTTATTATTATAAGGTCTTACTTTTACTAGTTTATCCTAAACACATGAAATCGCCATGTTAAAGCATGTCTAAAACACATACTTCCAGCTTCCAATGGACTAAATAAAACCAGGTTTCTCAATCCATTCCTTCTTTTAATAAAACCTTTACTGCTGCATTTTTCTATCTTGGTCAGAGAGCAGTTTATGCTGCATACCTGGTTGCAATCAATGTCACCTTTCAGAGGGTATGGAGTGAGGGCAGTTCAAGGGAAATGATAGACACAAAAGGCTCTTTCAGCACCAAGAGCCTCCCTCCCTCCCTAGTCTGACCCACATCTTTCCTCCATAGCTCCTACTCAAACATTCAGCCTTCATCTTGGCTTTAGAAGAAGCAGATACATGCCTTTGGTCAGTCAGACAGCAATGTAGAGTAAAAATAACATGCATATAGGATGTAGGGAAATTTGATAGAGATGTAAGACTTAAGATGTTTCATATCTGTGAGGTACATGTCTAAAATGATAGCTTATAATCATTCAGTTAAACCAGCTGAATAAAACACCAACTATCATCACTTTTTTATTGCATGACCATGTACTTACAACAACCATCCTCAATACATCCTCCGTCATTAGTCTTTATATCACCCATCTCTAAAACTTTCATCTGGTTACATGTGAATGTATGCACACTGCTCCAAAGGTACACAGAGGCACATTCCTATGGATGTATTTCATCACACCACACCTCAAAACACACCAGCGCACACAAGCTCTAGTGTGTTTTAGTTGATTGATTTAACATGTGACATGTTTCAACTTGGAAACCAAGTGAATCAGTGATAACATCATATGTCTGTCTGAAGAGATGATGAAGAGTAAAGCTGCTAGACATGAAGCCATGCTCCAGGTCAAATGTCTGAATATAAATTTACAATTTAAGTCAAAGCATTGAGTTTGTTTTTCCCCTTATATTTTAAGAGAGAAAACACCAAGATAAGAAAGAGGGGCTGTCTTAGGCCCTCACAAATTAAACCATAGCAACTAATTAAACTGGTAAAAACTTTGAAATCAGCCATTCCACAGTATTTAAAATAGTCAGTAACTGGGGGACATTTGGAGAACAAGAATCTAGCTGTTTAATCAAGCTTGTCCATAAAACAGGCTAAGACTGCTAAATAAAGTTTCCCAAAACCTGAAAATACCACCAAAGGACCTACAGCAGGCTGTTGGTGCAACTAACGTAAAACTGCATCAAAAAAGACTGCAAATGTTTATCTTTTGTGGCAGGTCTGCAAGAGTAAACCTTTGCTCTAAAAACCTGAAAGCCAGAGCAAGGTTTTCCCCAAAATATAAACAAAGGCCATATCTGAAGTGTTATTTAAGCATATGGATGACCCTAAGATTGAATCATTTAGACAACCGAACAGGACAGGACTTGAGTAAACAGCATACATCATTGTAAGAAATATTCTGCATATCGGCAGTGAGGATTAGTTTTAGGTTTCATGTTTTTCGTTGTTTTCTTTCATGCAGCAGAACCTGAGCAGCTCATGAATATATAACCAACCAATAAACCCTGATTCTTGCTTTGTAAAAACTGAAACAGAACAAAATTTTACTACCTTCCAGAGGGGAGGGGTTACCTTACTTTTTTCCTTATTGAGTGTATGTGTTTTCATTTTCTGTCAAATAAGTAAAAAAGATACATTTTTGTATTTTCTTGTTTTTAAATCACTTTTAAACCAGTGGATAAAAAGAAGATTAGACAGTGAAATGAAAATATGTATAAGAAATTATACTTCCAATATAATATCAAGCTTTTATTAAAAGCACTGTTTGGACTTTACCCTTTCTGGTTATTTTTGGACTTTCTATATTTAAATTTGATGGCATAAAGTTGAGAAGTATTGATGTCCATGCCCTGGTGAATTGGATATGGTGAATTCAGCCAAGAGGTGACATCTGAAAATGGCACTGCAGATGTCTGCAGCTTCTGCACAAAGGACCTACCCTAATTGAAAAACTAAAACAAAGAGGCAGTAATGCAAATAACAAAAAAATTAACACATTTTTTGTAACTGATTTTATTGAATCGCGACAATAACTTAAACATGTTCGTTTGCTGAGTTTCAAAATCCAGTCAGTCACGCCCATCAGAAAAATAGGCAAATACATTTTCAGGAAAACAAATCAGTTTTGTCGTTTTTTTAAAGAAAGAAGCACAAGACAGTGAAATATGGACAACACAAAAGAGTGAGCTGAAATCTGCTGTCTCGTCACATGTTCACAATGAGAGAACTAGCCTTTTCAAAGTTCTTTCAAAGGAAAGTCTGGAATAAGCTTCTTTGGTGAAGGAAAACAAGTCGGTATGGCCTCAGGCAATTAAGGACCTTTGTCTTAGATGAAAATAAGTTGAAGTTGACTAGCACCAGTAGTAAGCTTCAATTTGTGCAGAACTCTCCCTGAAACACAATTATTGTAGCTAATGTGCACATGCTTCAGCTGAGTTGCTTGTGAAGATACCAGTGTGTATGACACCTACCAAGATGGTATCAAATCATTACCGTAAAACACAAAAACCGACCTACAGTATAAAGATATGCTTTCTTCTCTAAAATGAATGTTTACAGTTGTACTGTTGCAAAGCTATGTAGCCGTCTACTTGTTTTTTATTGCAGTCTATTTTGTCATTTAATTTGCTTGCTACTTTTCTTCATTATATTCACTGATTGACAGAGATTCTTAAAAAATAAACTTATTGTATTCGTTTTAAAGCATTTGCTCAAATTAAAATGAAAAAAAAAAACAACAAAAAAACTGCATCATGGAACCATCGGACACAAAATTGATCCAAAACAAATGACTGAAGCAAAAATAAAGAGGGGTGCTAATGCTGTTTAAACAAATTCTTTTACAATAAATTTAAAAGATCCTGCAAACTCATAAAATTAGAATAGAAATTCAAAAGGTAGAATAGCACACAAAACACATACAGTGAACAAAAACAACTATGCATTGGACCCTTAGCAAAAATATTAATAGGATGCTTCCCAAACGTCATCTGGAGAAAAGGAAGAAAAGGTTAGTTTTTCCTTGAATCTCTTATTTTTAAAATTTAATTGCTCATAGCATCCATTATGCCTTTAGTAAGGATCTAGTCCCAAGTCAATGACTTTCTCCCCTAGTGCTCTGGAGCACTCTCATCATGCTGTGCTAGTTTTTGTTAGTTTTTTCCACTGCTGGATTTTTGTCTTTGCATGGGTTTTGTGTGTTAGCATCAATTAGGTTATGTATTTGAGGTGAGTGTTGTGTTTGTAGCATGTTTTATGTTTGCTGCTATTTTCTGTAAATTTAGATATTTACATTTGCTGCATATTTCTTTTGATATATTTTTTTGTGTTTGTTAGTCTCATTTTGGGTATGCTAGTTTAATGTTTGCATTTACAGGACCTTTTAAACTTGCTGTGAAATTATGTACTTAAACTGCATTTGCACCCCTAGACCATTTTAGAACATATTTACAGTATGTTTAAAATTAAGTTCAAGGATCAACAAATGACACTGCGATGTATCGAGTGCCGTTGGTGGTAGGTAAACCTTCATGGAGATGAGTCAGACGTCCAGGATGCATGAAACTCCATCCTTTCCTTGGTGATTCTATGGAGCAGTTGTATCGATGGAAGCGGCAACCTCCACCCTAATGAGAATGTAAATGAGGAGAGCGGGAAAACATTTTTTTTTTTGTGAGATGCACAAAACAGTTATGGCCAAAAAAAGACCAAAAAAATCACAAACCTAACAAAGAACTCCACAGTAGTCTGCTCAATTTATTACTCATGTTATACAGGAAAACCCCTGACTTATTTGCAAAACTTATCTCACCTGAAAATCAGTATCCTTGTTGTTGAGAGCGATGTTGATGGTGAAGGTGGAAGAGTCATGATGGGGCCTCAAGAAGGCTTGTCTATGGGGTGTGTATTTAACTACAAAGTTCATCAATGCATATCCCTGTTAAGAAAAAAAAACAAAAAAAAAAAACAATTATGTGTCTTTTTTGCTAGTCATTGCTTCATATTTATAAAAAAGCAGGATGAAAGTCTGCAAAAACACCCAGGAATAACATGATACTGGCTGGTTATTCTAAAATTTTAAAAACGTAGGCTTGCAAAACAGCAGAGTGTTTTGCAATAGGATCCATGCTAGACAATTTGTCAAAAGCACTGCAGTTTTCCCTGGATTGCACAGAATAGTGCAGAACAGTCCCTTCTCCACATGTTTCTATGCCTTGGCTGAGAATCGCTTTCTACATGCTATTGCCTTGCTTACAACAAATGCACTATGGCTTTTAACCTTTCCCTCTCCCTCTTGTTGGAGAACGTTTTTTTCTCTCTCTCCCATTCCCTCCCTGTCTATCCTACTTAGCTCAGTGTTTGCTATGTACTGTTTTTTTTTTTTTGCAGTCTCAAACTCTATCCTACTAAGGATAAAGTTTAAAATATGATTTTTTTCCCTCCTCTGACCTATTGTGATCCCTTTCTTTTGTTTTTCTTACTATAAGGCCAGCTCCTTTTATGGCAGCAAGGCCTTGAACACCACGTGCCCCATCTGTAATGCCGTCTAATGTCTTTCTGTATGTTTTTGTCTTATTGGACAGGCTGTACTGAATCTGAATTCCCCTTTGAGGATTAATAAAGTGTCATTGAATTTAATGGAATTGTGAAGTCTGAGAGAGATGCAAAAATACCTGTAGTGATGGTATGGAAAAAAAGCTTCTGTCATCAGTTATATAAGAGTTAATTTTGTTTTAAACCAGTGTTAATAACTAATCACTGAGTCACTATATTCAATACTTATTTGAAAGAGACAGTAGCAATAACCTTTAATGGATTCTTGGAGCTATGTAGCAACTGAAATGACAGCAAGCATCCTTAATCTTAAAACTAAGGTTCTTACATGTAAAGTTAACTGACCACTCTAGGTGGCCCTTAGGTCTAAGAGTGTTAGTCTGCATTTAACTTAAAGTGAAACTGAAAACACATGGAAAAATGTTAGAATTGGCCAATGATATATTTGACAGCTAATGAGTTGACACTATGTTTATAATGGTAGTGCATAAGCTAAGAACCACACAAAATAGACTGTAGGTTGGCTACTTACAAAGACCAGAGATTGGAAAACATGAAATTATAACATTACTGAGATATTTCAGTTTCCTTCTGCAGTAACCACAGCAACAAATATGCCCCAACCATTACTTAAACCAGTAATATAACTTATTACATTTATGGTACTGATAACACTGTACACAATTACTTTTCTCAAAACCAAAATATTACCAGGTGACAGATAAAGCTTTCACTTTTTTGGCTCCTGATTTTGATTGTTTTTGAGACCTGAAATCCTGAAGTCCATCATTGTGGGACTTTACTGCTGCATAGAGAAGTGCTTAATTCTAGCTAGAATGCATGGATCTGTGTGCTAGCAGACTTTCTTCCTTTCTATGCAGCGCAAAACCAATTTTAAACATATTACAGCCATATAGGATTTGGAGGGAGAAAAACTTAAAATGAATGTGTTGGAAACCAAGATAGCGAAAAGTACATACAAATAAAAGTTTTAGATGAAAGAAAAGGGTTATGAGTATGTCAAGTCAGACTAACCTTTGTGTAGTAACCAGAGAAAACCTTTAATGTGACGGGTGATATGTACTCTCGGAGAAAGTGAAGCCATTCCTTATCGAAACCAATTTGTTTCATGTGAATGTCATCAGTTGGCACCGTCTCGTAGCCTCCAGCAATCCTCTTGTCCTAAGAAAAAGAAGAGGAAAAAATCCTTGTGATTAACGATGGAACAAATGACCCACCATCCTAAAAGTGTGTGACCACAGCCTTTAATGTAATGATGATGATGATGATGTGTCTGTGTGCCTTTAAGACCGCAGGCTGGGCTGACGTCTGTCTGCATGAAACTTAATGACCCAACCAGGACAGTCATTTCCCAAAAAGTTATTTAAAGTATCTGCATGCAATCAGTCTGCAAAGGCAAACTCTGAGACACTAAATGACCAATTTTGACAACATAAAACAGGCCACATAAATAAAATTTTCTCAAAAATACATTGGTAGCAGGATTACTTGTTTTCAAATTTTTTTTAGAGATGGAGATTGTGGTAACCATTGTCTACTACTGTAGCTGAGTTCAACAACAACAATAAAGCAAACCAATGCATTGTTGATACACAACATTTCATGGCATATAGAACCTTTTCATTCCAAACCACTAACCCAGTGGTAGTATGAAATAGCTTGTTGTCTTGGTGTGCTGAAGGCATTGCACATTAAACTTTTTTGGAAATGTATCTATGAGCTTTAAATATTTTGCATACGATACATAAAATTTCTCTCTTGATAGTATCCTTTAAAAACGTATAATACATCAATGATGTTATCTTTATTGGCAATATCTTGCTTAGTGTTAAACCAGTCCTTCATTTATGTTATAAACCAGTATAATGAGTATGTTTTTAACTTTTAATATTCAACTATACCAGTCAATATAAATATCACATTATGCAAAAAGGTATTGAAGATTTTATTAATAACTTAATAAGAGGTTTAAAGGCACACCGTGGACTTTTTGACCTAAAGAGTTGATGCATTAATGAGTTATTTTAAATATTTAAAAAATGTTTTCTATTTTAAGTATTTAAATATTTTAAATGATTCTTCAGGCTAATATACAGTGCTTAACACTGCTACAAGCGGGGCTTCTCTATTGAAACATTGGCCAGATCATGTGACCTGGAAGAAGGTATCTCTTTACGGCCACAGGCTTTTATATAGTCATGGAGCTCAGGCTTTTGCTCAACTATTTTTCCAACTACTCGACTACTGGTTAAGGGCTGAGGCAAGAAAACATTTTAAACCTTCTTAGGAGGCTAAAAAGAGAAAACGTGAAAGGGATGTGCCTGAGGAAAAACAAGAGTCAATCTTGGAAAGGAGTTTTTTAATTGCCAAAGGCTGGAAGAAGAAGCCAGATATAAAACCAATTCTCTTTTTGTAACTTTATTACATTGCTCCTAGTATACAGTCATATGTCTTTTTTATTATTTTCAATGTTTAGTAGAAGCAAAATACGGGCAGTTACAGGTCTAGCGCCCCCAGTGGCAAAAAGTTATATGGTGTAAAGAAAATGAACAGAACAGAAAATAAAAGTGGTACACAAAAAAAATAATTGTACAGAATCAAAACCAGCAAGAGACTTGGAGGGAAAATGGGAAGTAAAGAAACAGAATGTACCATACAAACCAAAATAAAACAGGAATTTACATTAAACTAACAACAACTCCAACTGCAAGGAATGTATCTACACAAACACTATTACAAAACAACTGCTTTTTTAAATAATTTACCATTAAGGCTATGTAAACTTGAAATTAAAAGTGTGAGTTACTGTCTTAGCAACCTAATACCATCAAAGTATGTCTGTAAAATATGTACACAAACCTCAAATATTTGTTACTATTGTTTAACAATTACATTTTACAATATTTTCTGTTTGTCATAAGAAGGTTCAAGAGGTTTAAATATTTTGAAAGTATCTGGGTTTTTTTTTTTGTATATTATATGTATTTTTGGAAACCTTTCCATTTCCACCACAAATTGTGGTGTGGTTTTGTACACTGGAGGTTAGTTTGGAAAAATGTTTGAGGCACGACAACACCAGGTCATTAATACACTGAAACCCTATATTTAAAGTGTTTTTCATTTACTGATATTATTTAAAAACGCAAAAAATATGTATACACAAAAAAGGACCAAAAATGACAGAAAAAAATTTCAACAGCCTTGCAGTGTATTTTGTTTTCTGTTTTACTTTTATGTTCCGGAAGTCTACAGCAACAGTACTGACCTCATGTTTGCCCCCAGACCATACACCATAGTGCTCCATCTCCTCCACTATTTCATCACACGCCTTCACTGAGAGCACAGGAAACCAGAACACATCTGGACAAGGCTGCAAATCACACATAAACACAAATATAGTGAGACAGACTTGACTCAAACCTTCACCTGGTGTTGTAGCTGCTGTAATACAACACCCAGTAAAGCTAAAACCAGATGTTAGGATTTCCCTGCTACGTCATGTCATTGCCTTTCACTCACACTCAGTCTGTGAACGTAGAGACACACATAAATACAAACCTCCTCCAACTGGTTTTCAGTAAAAATTCGGGTATAGTTTGGGTGGATGTACTTTTCCTTCCAGTCCTGCATGTGGAGATATTTTCAGATTAGTAGATATTTTTTCACAGTATGTGTTGACCTGCATTCCAGAGAGGGCTAATCTCCTTGCCCACAGCTTTATCAGCCAGCAACCCTCTTACACTATGGTTTTATTTTGTCTCATTTATAATTCCTTCATTTCTTTTAATAACTTGCACAGTTCGCTGCCGTTTATCGTGAAGGAAATAGATTTCACATGCGTGTAAAAATAATGAAAGAACATAACGACTTACCACAGGGTTTTCAAATATCTGCCACAAGTCGTTATTGTAACGAGATATGTTATAATTAGCCGTGGAAATGAGCCTCCCAAACTCATGACGGTTGGTTATGTACATGAACACTCCCTGCAGCAAACAGGGAAATAAATCATTTTAGGTTGCATACAAATGATAGAGTTGAAAGAAAATTGTTTAAAAATGTATAAAAGATATGCATCTGCATAACTATAAAACATGCAGATTTATAGCACATTAAATTCCTTAGTTATTTTTGCTGGCATACGAAAAACAATAAAAACTGATTTAAGTGTGTCTAAACACACTGAAATCATGCTTAACTCTAGGTTGAAGTAGACAGGCGGCTTATAAATAATCTGAGATTATTTATGGGTCAGTCATCTCTGAGTTGCCCTTGACAGGACAAGACAGAGTCGTTAGGGGGTTGGGAGAGGCAAGATCAGAAGGGTGTCCTGGGATGAAGCAAAACTAAAGAGAACACACTAGTATAGTGAGGCATAGGGAGGGTGCTTTGTGGATCTGGACTCATTGTCAGACTAGGCTGTGTTAATGTCAAAAATCACAGATTATGGGTCTTTTAACGTTGTGGCGTGAGTTTCCAAATTGCCAATGTCAAAGCTGTGATTTAGGCCAAATGCAACAGCAGTGAGGTGAAAGGCAGAGCTGTTAGAGCCTAGTCTGAGATCAGTCAGTGTGTTCACTGGGGGGAGGGGAAGCTGCTAACATTTGTTTTTGGTGAGGTTTGGTTTGACAGGGTTAACCATCAGGAAAGAGGACTTGCACATTGACTCTTCAACTTAACAAGGGCTATCTTACCCCAACAGTTCTTAAATCATACTTTTCACAAACAATGAGGTTCACATCAATTTATAAAATAATTACGTTTTTTTAATTTACTTTTATTTCAAATTCTTTCATCTCCTTTAACCACAATCGTAATTATATTTATATTTTATCAACGAAACACATCTGATATTTAATTATTTGAAAGATGAACCTCTGCACTATTGCTTTACAGCTTTAAACAGATACTGTTAACTTTTTTTTTATATTTAGCCCTGTCCATATTTAACATTGTGCGTAATTTGGATTGTTGCAAGATCTGAGTTTTCAGTCTCACAACAAATCAATCTTGAAAGACTCCCCCTAATATGTCCGTCTCGTAACAACCAGAGAGTCAGACCAATGACATGCCAGTGGGGTTTTTTGGGCTGGGACTTTGCATTTGTGGATGGGAAACATTTCTGTGCTTTTCTTTCAACAGGATTAGGAACAAGTTTGATTTATCAGCTTACTTTGCCAGTTGTGAAAATGTCACGATTCACTGCTACAATTGGCTGAAAGCTTATTATGGAAGGCGGGTATTAGTGACACGTCACCCAATCAGCTTGAAGTATTGTACTAAACGTCCCTCCTTTTCACAGACGGACTAAAAGGCAGCCAGCGATCTACACATATCAATCGAGGTTAGTCCAAACACTCATCAACTCCAAAATGCCCCACTTGCTGTGCTTTTTGGAGTTTGTTTTTCACCGCTTTATGTGGTAGCGGCCAAGGACCCTTTGGCCGCTACTTTGATTAATGGTAGACTTTACCAGCCTATAAATTTAGATGGATGGCTGCGGTTCAATATATTTTCAGTATAATCTTACTCTTTCCTTTCTGATAATGAATTAACAAATGCTCTGAGGTTTTAGGTTTTTAATGCCTTTTACATCCTCCATGATTCTTTTTTTTTGCACTTCAATTTTGTGTAAAACCTTTACATCCTTTACCGAACAGCAGTAAACATTTTGCGGTTATATTAAACTCCATAATTTGCTATCAATTAAGAGCTGATGGCTCTTGATTTTCTTTTTTCCAGTATCAAATTAGTAAATAACAAACACCTGTATGTGTTTTTTTTTAGATATAAAAAGAATGAAGAAAAAAGGCCATGTATCTTTATCATTATAGCTTATAAATATGCTAAATTTTGTGTTGGTCAGTGACATGATTTTAAAAAATACATTTATATTTAGGGTCACAGAGTAACAAAACGGAGATATAATTCAAGACTGCAACTAATTATTAAAACCTTCATTATCATTAGGGTATTTTTCAATGACTGATGCATTGGACAATAAACTAGATCTCAAAGCTAAATATTATTAAAACCTAAAAGTTTAACATATTCTGCCTCTGACAGGCCTAAAAGTATAATTGGTTTCTGAGTGCAATATCAATGGAAATTAGAATATCAGAAAGCAGAACAATCAAAGTAAATATTGACCTTAGGGGACCTGAGCATATGGAATGATTCCGGAGAAGGGGAGTCTTTTTCCCTGTGACTGGTCTAAAATGAAGGAGAAGCATCATGTAAATAAGACTGCATAAATTTTACTAAGAGTAAGAGACAAAGTGACAGATAAAGTATTTTCATGTCACACATATTAGAACTTAGAAGGAGTGAAAATGCACCCGCATGATCAAAGTAGCAAGATTCCCTCTGAAGCTGATGTTTCTGTGGAAGAGTTACAGGAAGGATGCACGCAGAGCAGGGTAGCAGTTCAGCTCTAAGCATAGGCGACATGTAGTTGTCACAGAGTACAGCTGAGAGAACAGTTTAAAGGTTTTTAGAAAAGAAAGCAAAACAAGATTAATGTCGTCAGCTGCCAAGCCAGGCATTGCAACTGACTGAGATCATGGCAAAAAGGGCAGAAGAACATGAAGGGTGAGGGAATGCAAGTAGAGCAGAGAACCTTAATGCTCTGCAGGCAAACCATGTACAGGGTTTAGGTCATGCCTTGGTGACAAAGACTTTCAAAACAATTGAATACTTTTTGCTTATGCCTTAAATCTGTCACACAACTATGTAGCTGCCTTGGATTTTAAATTAGAAAAATAACACTCCAACATTGCCTTTCTACAAATCCATTACTGTAGCATAACTGGCAAAAGATATAGCTGAAACATGGAGTCACATACTGTTTGAATATGTGAAATTTACTAAGGTGTCAATGTTGCAACAGAGAAGAAAAACATTTGTTGTCATAAGCCTTGCTACTAGCAAATTTCACAAGGTTCTAATGTACTTTTAACTTACAGTGACACATGATACATTCTTCAAATTTATTCCACTTGAGGAACATAGATAAACAATGTTTAACACAAAACATACATTTCTGGTTGCAAGATCTTAAAATATATTTTTAGATTTGCCAACATACCTAGTATAGAAACACTGTGACAGGAGCCTATCAATACATTCATGTTATTAAAAGTGCGGTATTTTTCACCTTCTTACCATTTCTCTGGCGTTTCTACACAAAGCCATATCTGGGTCCAATTTCTCCAGAACAAAGTGATTCCTTTCTTTAAGTTCATTCCTTAAAACGGTTCCCTTGATGAGGTATATGTGCGCCATGAAGGGAATGTTCCACAAACCCCTTAAAACAAAAGGAAACATTTCCCTTTCAATTCACAAGGAGGGTTTGTAAATGTGATTCACTGCATCCATGATTGATTATTTAGAAATGATAGAATTCTACATAAATATGCTATGATATAAATAAGATTAGATAAGCAGTCAGAGATTAAAGCTGACTCACACTCGTTTCCTTTGTACAATGTCGACATAATCCTCAGATCGTGCATAGTAGCCATCCAGGCTCAAGGCTCCCCAAAAGTTTGACCACAGCTTGCCATGACGGGTGACAAGAGGACCAATTATCTTTCTGTGAAGGCAAAGTGGAAAAAATAGTTAAAAAAGCTAACATCCTAATGTACTGATATTCTTTATAACCACTGCACTGGATCAAAACAATTAACACCTGTCTGTAAATCATCACTGCTAATTTAGTCTAATGCAAACCAGGCCTTTAATGTACTGAAATTATTTCGATCCTCACTCCAAGGAGCTCCAAAAATGTTTAATTGTGTTAAACACTAACCCTGACAGGGAATGTGCTTCAACAATTCTAATGGTCAATAAAAAGAATCATCAAGGAATGTGGAATGCTGTTGTTTTTATACTTAAATAAAAACACCAAGCCAACATAGTTTTAGTTATATTATTGTTGGTTAGGAATAATGCAAATGTGTTGGCCCCAACAGACTTGTGCAGACCACATATTCTTGGTTTCTTCAAATGCTGCAGTGCCAACAGAAAATTCTCATGCTGCCTTTAAATATCCTAGAAAGTCTCTCGCCTTACGTACTACCAGTCACTCACATTTCCACTGCAGAAATCCCAATGACATATGGTTTTTGGGAAGTTTTCTTCACAATCATGTGCTGTATAGGGTGATAAAAGGGTTTGCATGTTTGTTTGGGTTTCTTTTGCTATGCCAAGCTGCATTTTGGGGTTAGTGCAGCAGACATTCTGTTTCCATGAGGACAGCCAAAAATCATATCCTTAGCAGCTTTTTTTTTCCTTTAATTGACTCGTCTGTAAGGCTGTAAGGCTGCTGTGGGTTTGCCACCTCAGGGATGAATCCAATGCTTCATTGACCTTGATAGCTACTGTGGAAATGCCCTTAATGGCCTCTAGCGTGGCTACTGCAGCAGCTGACATGTGATTACCTGTTTTGTTCGATGAGAAGCTTCAATGTCTGTCGGTTGGTGAGCATGACGTCAGAATCAAGGCTGAAGTAATAGTCACATGTAGCATCTTTGCGACAAAGATCCCTGATAAAATAAGCATAAAGCGTTGTTGAAAATGTCTTATTTATATTAATAAACTTTGACATGTAATAGTCAATTCAGAGATTGTATATTTAAACCATGTGTACATAATTAAGTTTAACTGATCTTTGATTGCTTTTATATGTCATAGTCTAAACAGTTTAGATACTTTTAGTTAACCATGGTTTTGTTATTGATGGGATCTTAATTAAGCCTAATGTACCGGTAAGACAATTGCAGTACTGTTAAGATTAATATTCTGTTTTAAACAGTTTAAATTATAGAGGCACCAAGAAGCTGACTTGTAAACAGAATTAGCAAGAGTTCAACTTCACTAGGCCAAGAGCAGATGATTGGAAACACAAAATCAGATTTTTTTGTAGTCATTGAAAGCACCATATATAAGCATTACCTTTGTTGTGCTGGGGTTTCTTAATTAAAAGTGATCGAATTCTTTGAAGGCATTTTACCTTTAGTAAACAGTTCATTCAAGATGCTATAACAGAAAGCAAAACTTGCAGATAGTTAGAAGTCCTTTTATTTTCTTCATTACTTAACCAGCTTTAAATAAGTCACAGCCAACCTTTTCAGTGATTCAGGATGTTAATTTCACTGAGTGGCATGCATTAACCAACTTTAGCAAATGGCATTAATGGATCAACATCTTGTTGGCATTTTCTTATAAAAGCCAGTTAAGGTAAGAGTCTGGTTTTCCCTAGTTAGGAATCCTTAACCCTCCTGTTGCCTTCAGATCACAATACCCGAAACTGAGTTAAAATATCAAAATTAACCCTAAATTATATTTTTCAAATTTAAATAAGAGGAAGTTTCCTAGCTTGGCCCTAGCATTAGAAAAAGTGAACCATTGCCTTATTCATCTTTCCAATTTAGCTGCATAAAGAAAATAGTCAATTTGTAAGGGCACTTTTCACTGTTAAACAGTTCTAGATTTTTTTTTTTCAGATGACGAGCAAGACAGTTGATTGAGAAAGGAGAGGTATCAGAAAAAGATGATGGGAAAGAATACAACCCATAACACAATGCTAATTCATCTAGAGAAGTAGATGCCTCAAGCCGAATGAGAGACATTCCTGACAGAAAAGGTGAGTGGTATCGCCATAATAAATGCAGTTTTACTGCCATGTTAAAACGAAAAAAAAATCTGGCAAAATACTGTTGATTTGGTGTTAAAACGAGGGCCAGAAAGGGTAAATTAAATTTGATTGAGGTCTGTTCAAAGATCTGATCAGGATAAGCACAGTGGTAACGCTTATCTTTAATTATGCTAACTGCAATAAAGGTAGGATAAATTGTCGGCTGATTTTGCTTTTGTTTCACAGTGATAAAATCCCTTCCACAGTGACTGCTCATAACATAAGCATTTATGATTATTTTAAAAATTCAAGGATTCCCCAAATCTGGAGACAATCCATTTCTAGTTTACCAGCAAAGCTTAGCCATCAGTAGCTCATTATGAACAGTTTGTATAAAAATTGTTCTTCAAACATCAGATTCTAAAAGATATTCAACTTTTAACAGGCACACATACATTCCCATGTTCCTGGCCTCTCCTTGGCTCAAGTTTTCCTCTGGTCCCACAACTTTAAAACTCTTGAACACGTCCCTGTTCTCCTCCCAGAACCTCTGAATGTGCTTCTCGTGATAAACCTCCTGGGCAGGGAGCCAATATTAACAGATTATAAGCGGTAGACACTTGAGACTGATTTAAAAAAAGCAAAGAGTTTCTGCACCCACTCACATTGTTATGTACAAAGAGTTTCAGTTTATCTTTGGGATAGTCCAGGGTAAGCAGCTGTTTGAAAAACTCAGGAAGGAATGGAGTTGGCTGTTCGATGAAGACTCCGACTAGCACGTCTGGATACTCCTGTTTAGATTAGAGGAAAGACAAATCATTTCTGTTTTAAACAACTGATCACAGCTGTAATAAACCAAGAATATTTACACCTCACTTGTTACATGTATATAAACATTATGGCTCTGCAGATGTCTCACACATTACTTATTCATTTTTAACAGACCCAATTCTTTTACATTTTAAGAAATTGTACATTGCAAGATTTTCTTTTAAACACACAAAACACATAAAAATGCCACTGTGGACATGCTATACATAGATGGGAAAAAAGGAGGACATAGAGATGAGGAAGACTTTCCCATGACACTGAGCTTCAGCCCACACAGGCCAGTCTGGATTCGTAATTTTCTTGACCAGTTCACAGCAAAGGTCTGGGCTGGGGATGAAAAGCCATCCCAGCCGAACCATCTAATTTTCACGTTCCGCAATGACTGTTTTTTAGGCACAGGAAGGAGACCTCAAACTTCAAGCCAACACAAGCTTAAACAGTTTCACTAGGCCTGCAGACAGGCAGACTCAATAAAGAGGAATAGGTGGCATTGACAAAATAAATTATTTACAATAGGCTTTAACACGAGGCAGAAGCAAAAAGTTTGGTTGTGTGGCTGGCACGACACTTGTCTTTGGTTGGATAAAACTTCCAGCGTCTTTGCAGGGCCAAAAGTTCAAAGCTTAAGTGCAACAAAAAGGCACACAGGATTGCCAGTGGACTGAGTTCACCCCAGTGGACAGGCACTGTGGGAGCAGTGTTTCCTCAAGGCCTGATCTTCCAGACGTCTTCCTTCCAAACAAATAAAAGGAAACGGTGGAATGAAATGCCTCTATAGACCATTTTACTTCAGCAACCTTTTCTCCATTCTTTGCAGAAGGTCAAATGTTTTTCTTTTTTTTAATTACCCATGTTTGTACTATAGTAGATCCTATCAAACTATTGAAGGAGCTCATTGAATAGTTACCTCATGGCTTTGGGTGACAACCTGTGTGGCACTTTCTGAAATGATTCCTCAATACTTAAACACAAATTTGTCACATTATAGCCACAATCGTTAACGTATTGAATTGGTATTTTATCTGTATAAAAATAGTGCACATGAAAAGGAGTAAAGGAAACTATATATTTTAATGGTTGTGCTTAAACAAAGCAGCATACCAATGGTATTTAGTCTTGCTAAATTTGCATTGAAAAGCTGTTACTCATAATAGGTATGTCTCTACCAGCTTTTTGATTCTAAGGAACAAAATATGTGTTATTTTCCTTGGAAAAAAGCTGAGTTTGAGTAAGACTGGACATACTGTAGAGCATATGGGCATTAGTGTTAAGGTTTCCCTTATGGATTCTGTTCTGAATTTTAGTTAGTAAATTGTTAGAAAGACGCAGTCAAACTTTTAAGCTAAGATTTGAACCATAATATTGTTGGACTGAATCATGGTCCTGCTTCAAGGTGAACATCCACAATAGCCTTCGTATTCTGCTGCCTCCAATATTGTTTTCTTCCACCATTGATCTATATTTATTTCCATCGATCGTCTCATCCACTGAATGCATTTTGCCTTTACATGGTTAAGAGAGGCATTTCCATGGAATTATACTGCTACTACCACGGTTTTCGGTTCGGTTCGATACATGTTGATTGTTACACCGAAATCCCATAAAAATTGATGGAATTAATGAAAAAATCCCCCCAAAAATAATGGATTCTAATTATTTTAAAAGATCCGCGGAAACCCTGGATCATTTCCGTATGTTTTGCTGCTTTGAA